TAAACCACCAGAAAACCGGAAGTGGCGCTGTAGCTCAAGTGGTAGAGCGCTCGCCTTGAGCTGAAGAGCTGAGGGACAGCGCTCAGGCCCAGAGTTCAAGCCCCACGACCGACCAAAAAAAATAAATAAATGAAAAATAAGAGAATACCACCAACTCTGGAGGGTGTGTATGAAAATGAAGTAAGTTTGTACATCTGTACATCACCTACAACAATTCCTAATACATAACAGTGTTGACATTTCTAACATTTTCTTGCTCAAGTATTTCAACAAATATTTTTAAACATCCACATAGACAAGGACTAGATCCTATAAGAAAACTGTCCCTATCTTCACAAAACTAAGAATCCCATGCACTCAGCAATTTCTGTTACAAGACAAAAATGAAACACAACTAGAGACATTAGTCAGCTATTGCTGGATCCTATAGAATTCTGAAAAACAGAAACCTAGAAGGTTTTGCAGAGCAGAGGGCATTCATTAAAATGAACCACAGCGCATGAACAGAACTTTAGCAGAAGAAAGTAAAGGCTCAGCATTAAAAGAAACGCATTAGCAAAAGCAAGTAAAATAATACAGCTCAACTATTAGTGACCAAGACTGCTAGTACAGCCAATTTAAAGAAGAGGTGAACAGATGAAGTGGGAGGTTAAGGATGGAGGCTAATTACACATCATCTTAAAAATCACACACATATTGTCAGCTAACCAAGAGCTTAAGGACTAACATGATCCTTACTTGAGTAACTTGGTAGAGTCACTCCAGCAGGCTAGAGTGAATGTCTAGCAAGTACCAAGGCTTTGAGTTTAAACCTCAAGGGTTTTAACTATGGTAAGAGTATCATCTATGCACAGTTCTAAAACTTTATACCCCATTTCTTCTTCTACACATTCAATTTAGAAATAAAGACTTATGCTGGAAAAAGAAATAAGCACTGTGATTTGTAAGTCTATGCAATTGATATTCAATAGACATTTTCCCACTGCTACTATATTATTAATACAGCATAATAGGATGGATTGTTTTAACTACAAAAAGAGGCAGACTGTGAAAGAAGACTTCTAAGTACAAAAAAAAAGGCATGGGGCAAAGAGTTGGGTGCTACTGATCCATGCTACTTGGAGGGCTGAGATCTGGAGGACAGAATCCATACGACTCTATCATCAAAATAACCAGCAAACAGCAAGGCTGGAAGCATGGCTGAAGGGGTAAAAGATCAACCTAACATGTGCATGAGCTTTGATTTCAAACCTTAATACCACAGGACATCAGGGGTAGTATAGAGTGCAAAAGTTTTTTTTTTTAAAGCTACTAAATTCATCCAAAGAAGATGTTCAAAGGGTGAATCCAAACATTAACTGAACAAAGTCACATACACATGTCAAAGACCTATCATATAGTTTTCTCAATACAAAATAAGAGAGAAATAGGTATTACTAGTATTTTTGGACTATAAACACACCTCATTTAACACTGTAAAACACTAGTACAACCTAAGACCTTAAGCACATTTTTAAATCTTATATTGCACACAAAGTTTGGGTTTAACTACAAAGAAGGAAAAAAAAAAAGTTGAGGTTGGCAGGGAGAGGGGGGAATATAGAAATGGAAATACCTTATTCACTTCTTGCGGATCATGATCTTTGAAAGTAAGAAACTTAATTTCACAGGACTTGGTCAAAGGTTTATACATGTCCCAAGGTTGTCCATCCACAAGAGCCAGAATGGATTTCTTGCAGTACCACTCACTTAAATCTAGGAATTTAAAACTGATTGATGATCTAAATCTAACAAAATCCAAAGGGAAAAGTTACATGTTTAAGAGCTATGTTATAAAACAAAACAATGGAAAGATTGTGGATTGTTTTTCAAAAAAAAAGTACAAATATATCTGCAATCAATTGAAAACTAACACATTGAATAAATTAACAAAATTTCCTAAATCATTTAAGTCTAGTTGGAAATTAATTTGTCAATTAATAAAATAATCTAAGATCTATACTTACATGAAAATGAATTCATACCTACATAATCTTGAGCCTTACTCTAAAAAAAACTTTTACTTCCATCCATATCATAGGCTCTTCCAATTTAAATTCTGTAGTTGCTTTTTAAATTGTGAGTATAAATTCACACATAAGCCAATCAGCCCTAGTCTGCTCTAAAACCCCAAAAATACAACTGTAAATCTGATTATTTTGAAAGTACACATATACAAAAAGAGACCAACTGTAAGAGCAAATTTATCAACTACTACATAAGCCCCATAAAGGCAGGATTGTATCTATCCTCACTCATCAATATATGCATGACCAGCACTAGAGCTAAACACTGTAGGTACTCAATGAGTTTCCTGAATGACTGAAGGTATGGATGACAAACTTCATCTGTACATATGCCTTGCATAAAGTACCAGAGGGCCTCAGGTTTGTCTCACTTTGTAATCCTGTTACATAGAAGAGATTCAAGAAATATTTGAAAACCAACTAAGGAAATAATT